CATTCTCTCAATTCCTCTGTTATGGACAGTGTCTTCCGGGTGATCTCTCGATGATCTTGTCATTCTCTCAATTCCTCTGTTATGGACAGTGTCTTCCGGGTGATTGGGTGAAGTAGATTTGACGCTTTTGAGTTTCTCACACATCCGCCTTCTTTTCTCCAACTTCGAGAGTTTTTAGCTTTTCCGGTACGGATTGGAGAGAACAGCATTTCCAAATCCCGTCCTGCCCTAACAATTGGCTAGTACTAATGGTACTCAAGGTTCCTTATCCTTAAACGATTTATAATTTTATAATCTATATAGGATTACTCAGGAAATCTGCATGTGGGTCATCGGGAGGGCAAGACACAGCAACCCATCAAGAGGTCCAATCTATCTTCACAAGGAGGTAAAGAGAGCACTAGAAGACAAAGTGGAAGAAGAAGAAGATTCGGAAGTGTGTTTCCACTCCGACTCCAGGCAGATTCGAAGTAGCTAGTGCTTTAACTCCCGTCTTGATCACGTTTCAATTCTTTCTGCAGTTTTGTCGTATTCAGAAATTCCCAGCTGCCAGCCAACGTTCCCTATTGCTTTCCTCACATCTGACTCCTCCGCAGTGTCAGTTCCATTCGCAGCCCATACCAATCCCAATTTCCATCGCCTTCATGTTCCAAACCATCCCTTTACTCTAGCCTACCTCATCAGACTCGTCCGTGTCCTTTTGGAGCTTCAGCCACATGTACTGAGGCAAATTGTCCTGCAAAAATTGTGGATGCACATATGCACACACACCTGTGAGTAGAGAGCAGCAGAGCTTACTTAAATTGCCAGCACAGTGGGACAGTCAGGCCTTTGTTTGGGGATACTATTCATTCAATGGATTTCGTTCGCTTGTGGTCTTCCATGAACTTTTGTACTGATTCATCTTTATGTTTGGATGGACAAGCGAGGTTGGTAAAAGGGCCTTTACGATTCAGGCTCGTAAAAGTGACCCCTGCATGAAAAGGGCCCTCTCGGCCTGAACTCAATTTCACGAGCAATATTCCAAAAGACAAGTTCCTGAGGCAAATATCGCATCCATAATGAACTGAAAAGTCGTTTTGAACAGTCACGAGCAGGTCCTGGACGAAAAGGTTTAGGACGCAGATTTCAAACTAAGTTGGGGTCGTGCCTGTTCGGCAATAAGTCAAAAGGCACAACCCCAGTCCAGTCACAGTCCCACGGGTCAGTTCTGATTCAGACCAGAAGTCCAAAAGACAGGCCATTGGCCCAAGCAGCAGCAGACCACGGGAAAAGATACTGGGACACACACTTTGCAACAACAGGTACTGGGCAGGAGTCCCAGACACTTAGAGGCTGAGTTCATACCTCGCCAGTCCAGTCCAGCGCTATAAAGGACTGGCCAGCCTCCTCATAGGGCAGACACTCATTTCGCATGGAAGTGTGGAAGTGCCGTGGCGCTTGTGCGCTAGCTGTGTGTGAGCTGCGCTAGGCTGTGAGCAGCGCTAAGTGTGAGAGAGAGAGAGAGAAGAAGGGCGCTGACTGGAAAGAAGGCAGCCATAGCTGCGCCAGCGCCAGTTTGTATATTAGTAGGGATAGTCAGTAGGAGACACCAGTGAGTAGCATTCAGAGTAGATCCTCATGTGATAGGGAATGTGCATGCATGAAGAGTGTGAGTAGACCAGGACTATAGACAGAGAGAGAGAGAGACGAAAGACAAGGAGGTGAAGAGAGAGAAGAGAGCTATGGTGATACTACCTGTTGAGCGCCGATCTTGGTGATTGTTGGCAAGCGCTGATGAGCGTCTGGCCTGGAACACTTATTGACTGCAGAAGACATGTATTTTTGTTGGGCGCTATATCCTTGAACTCGTGATTCTCTCTGGTTAATATGGTTGTGATAATTGAGATGCACTACCTGGTGTCCACTCATTCCCATTGTGCTAAGTGTGAGCCTTCGCAAACTGTGTGATCAGTGCGACATGCATGTAATCTGAGACGCTCCTGCAAGCACCATCCGGTTCCTTGCATTGGTAAGTATATCGACCTTTCACACATTCTGTCCACAAACTTGTGCCATTATGGCAGATAGGTACATGGGCACTTAGGGCTCAAGCACAGAAACCTTGCCAATCTTGCGTTCGTTTTCATTTTTCTGTATCAATGAAGGAGTTGGCTATGGCGTTTCGTGATGTCTTTACGACACACACACACATGCACAAACCTCCTGATGAGTCAGTGAAAGTCGGATATGACACAACCTCCTGGCGTGATATATAGTGAATATTGGAAGTAATCAATGCCGTCCCTTGGGCTTTCCTACCATAAAGGGGAAGAGTGTGTGCGAGTCCCATATGTATTGGTTTCGACTTGCCGGTGGAATAGGAACCGGACTGATGCTCCCCAGAATGGAAAAGGAACCAGAACCAAGAGGTTCTGTTTTTGTTATAAAAAAAAAGTGTATACACTGTATAGCGAATATGACAACACACATGCACACATGCACACATGCACACTCAGAGTGAAGATAGTCTACGGCACAGAGCTTTGCACACACGAAGTGAGTGAAGAAGCATTCCAATGATTCCATAGAATCCATAGGTTTGACGATGTTGACATCGTGCTATCTGTCATATAGAAGATCTCACACGATTTGAATTTCGCCGATTGCATGACCTTTTGCAGGACACTGTTCTGAGGCTTCTGTTATGCCTGACATTGATTATCAGATTCAGCAATACATTTCTGGTGTCATAGCATGCAGTTGGCAAAAGCTCTCACCACGCCTCACTGCTTTGGCATGCTCACTACAACTCCATTCAGTTGGATTCTCTGAGCTGCAGGCAAGATCCGATGTGGTTCCCCACTAAGCTCATAGCCAGTCTCGCCATGTCATGGCTTCAGTGGTTAAAGGCCAAGGGTGCCAGTTTGGTTCAATGCGGTCTCGCTGATGTATCTAGGCTGACGGTACTGATCAGTACTGCACGCAGCAATGGACCTGGAAATTATAGCAGAATGTGGTGGCCGTGGCAATCAGTCTCACTTTGACTACAAACTGACTACAAAGACGATAAGGTATAAGATAATGCAAGCAGCAATGTTACTCCTCGACATTGAAAAAGCATGCAATCAGGTCAACACCATCACTTGATGTCCATCCGCCAGTCAGGGGAACCCCCCCTGCGCGGTGGGGGGATCATCCATTGCGGTGGATCCAGTCTATTTGTGGGGAGCAACACGTGCTGGGAAACGGGCCCAGTGTCCCATACATGTCAAATCATCTGTCAAATGCAAAGAAATATGCACTCAACGGAGTGCTACAGTGTACCTCTCCAGATTCTAGCACAAGGTTTCGTGAGTGGCAGAGCCAGCTAGGCATCCACCGTGAGGCTCTGCTTTGGTGTACCTCTCCATCTTCTACCGCAAGGTTCATTTCACGAGTGGCAGAACCAGCTACGCGCCCACCGAGCGCCGCCCCAGGAAATACAAAACGCAAAAATGCGTGAAACCAGCAGCCCTCAACCCCGCGCCCCCGAAATTGAACATCTGCGGCAGATATGACGGAAGATGATGCCGCCGGCCCCAGAAAAATGAAAACTCGAAAAACAAAAGCAAACGCGCATGTGAATTCATCAGCCCTCGAACCTGTGCCCTGCAAAATGGGGCATGAGAAAGTGTGCACTAAACGACAAAAAAACAAACAAACCAAACGTGGCACAGTGCCTGTCCCATCCAACCGAAGTGCGGGTCTCGTTTTTCCTGGGCCCAGGGGAAGCGTCTTACGGGGCCCGCTGCTTCCTTTAATAGTTATATAGATATACACAATAAAGACAGAAATCCAGGCGCTATGGCAAAGAACCAGAAAGCTAGTCATAGAAACACCTGACAAAACAGATAGAATTACAGAAAGTTTGCCAAAACCAAGCTGGGCAACAGCAAACTAGGTGGTATAGTCAATGACGGACTGCAACTAGATAACTGGTTAATAATACCAGTAACAGATAGACACGAAACCACTCAGAACCAAATCCAACACTTCACTAGGACCACAAGGACCAGTAGTAGGTGAGGACTGAAAACTCAGTATAGGGACCACAGCTCACACGAGAACCAACAAAGTAAAAAATACTACTGAAAACCATTCCAAAAAGAAACTAGTACAGGCTGATAAGAAATACATTTGGAGGGAGTGATACAAACAACCAGGGGAGTTTTAACGTCTCGCACCAACCCCCCAGATCAGAAATCTTACCCATAGTCAGGGTCAGAAGCCCGCTCCCATCTTCGTAAACCCAAGGCATCCAAGTATTAAATAATCATCAAGATAAACAGAAAAAATAAATAAAAAAATGCAGACATAGAACTGAAAAGGTGACTGGCAAACAATACACCCAGTACCAAAACCGGACACCTCTTCTGCTCAGCCAGCTTTTAAGGCAAGATGAGACAGGTGACGACCGTCAAAAGGCCTGGCGGCTAGACGGTAAGACCCCATGCACCTTTACTATAGCTTTGCATTGGCCACCTTGATTGGACCTGTAGGATAGGTGGGAGGCGGTCATCAGTGACTAATACTGACTATCAAGCTTGAAATACCACTCTTTCATCAAAGGGTGTCCAACCGGACAAGAGTAGAGCACAGGCCACACCAGGCTCTGTTGTCTCAAGAATATTAGAAAGGTAGGTAAAGAAGACAGGAAGAAGATCAAGGAATGCAGAATTAGAATCAGGATTTTAGACCGACAGGATAAACGGAGTTTGAAGAGAGTTCCGTGTGCTATCCAATAGAAATCTGTAAAAAGGAAACACAGGCCGAGATAGTGCAGATGGAAACAGCGCCGACGTGAAATCAGGAGGGAATCAAGCAAATGTATCAGTTCACCACTCCAAGGAGACAGCAACGAAAAGCTCAAGACCCACAAGCATATTTGACAGCAGGCAACAACTGAGAGGAGCAACTAAAGGATATAACGGTATTATAACCTCAAGGAGTGTGGGAAGCAATAGTCCGGAAGGCCAAGGAAGGATAACAGGATAGCCAGTCTGAGAAAAAGCTATTAGGCTAACTTAAAAAAAAAAAAAAAAAAAAAAAAAGAAGGCAGGGGCAAGGGGAGGGACGCCCTTCCATTTGGAAGTAATCGATGCCACCTACTCGGGTTGCCCAGCCAGAATGGAGGGAAGCGTCGAGAGTGTGTACAGGGTGTACTTTTTCTGACTTGCTGGTGCAATAGGAACTGGACTGGCTTAAGGAAAGAGAGGATAACTATCCTCCTCGTCTTGACTTGCTACCCTCAGTGGCCACGGTAAACAGAAAGGTTTTGGTTTGAGTTCACCAGTAAGACTTCCCTCGGGTCAAATGGACGTTCAAGGAGGCTGCAGGCGCACGGGAGAGAGTCTGGGGGGAGACTAAGGTTCAGTTACGGGCAGATTTTCTAGGCAGCTGGCAAAAAGTTCAAGAGTACAGGGACARATGAYGAAGAGAACCRGAAGAAGGCTAGTGACAGTTCATCAAAACATGGTGGGCAGGGGGGAGGTTTGCTGAGTTGAGAAATGACCCTAGTTGGGGGAAGGAAGGGCACAACTCCATTTCAAGAAGAAATCTGGAACAGTAAAGCACAGTTTCAGAGAATGGACTCAGTTCCTAACNTGACCCTAGTTGGGGGAAGGAAGGGCACAACTCCATTTCAAGAAGAAATCTGGAACAGTAAAGCACAGTTTCAGAGAATGGACTCAGTTCCTAACCGAGACAGCACTGGTCTCGCTACACTACTCTTAAAGTTCAGCGGTGGTGACCAGGACTCAAATGGGTAACGCAGACGAACAAGTGAACCAAAAGGGTCAAAGCGGGGAGTACCAGAGCTACAGGGGAGGCGACCCTTGAATGGGAATGGCTTTTCGGGGTGCAGTTAAGATGAACGAGAGTCTAGGCTCAGGGGTTAAGGGTGGCTTAGGCAAAAAGAAAAAACGGGTGGAATGGAAAAGGGCTCGGGTTGATGACCACAAGGGAGGGACTCTTTCTAGGGTTCAGCGATGCAACATGGCAGACCTATTCGTTCGGTCTGAGAGGAAAGAGAGAGGATGGGCAAGCTGGCAGTCAATCCTTCACCGAGGTGGAGCAATCAATGCTGTCCAGGGGTCCTTCGGCCAGACGGAAGGAAGCGTGAGTGACAAGTACTTTTGTAATGATTATTTTGACTTGCCGGTGGAATAGGAACCGGACTGACGCTCCCCAGAATAGAAGGAGCCAGGACCGTAAGGCCCTGCCTGTTAAAAAAAAAAAAAAAAAAAAAGGAACTGGACTGGCACTCGGCAGAATGGATATGGAGCAGGGGCCACAGGCTCTCTTTTTCTTAAAAAATAAAATAAAATTTACTAATGATATCCGCTCGAAATTAAGTAAACAAGGAAGAGAAACAAGCTTTAGCCTCCACAAGTGCTGGCAGAAGTCGCCTTGATGCACCATGACAAGAGACGGACTTAATTATGACACTTGCCTGTAGGTAAGCCACTGGGATGTTCACTTCTCCCATGAAAAGATCCTGGCCCACTTTTCGATCATAAACCTGCAAATAGCCAACACAACAGCATTATATTTGAAATCCGAATCGGTAACGTGAGGGATTTAGCTAGACATGTGATCCTACCCCTGCAGATGGGCAACAAGGCACACTTTCACTATCTCTAGACTCTAGGTATGCCTCTGAGCTTGGCTCACAACTTCAGGATTATTTTCACATTTCTAGGGTTTGGTGGTGAGACCCTTGTCCCATTCAAACTACTTATAGCAAATTTAATCAGATCTGTCACTCGTCGTGCATGCACATTGTAATAGAGTTATTGTTGTTTGAAGTGTTTCATTCCTGGCCCACCAATCTCCGCTTTGCCTTTCATGTAGTTGCACACTGGGGACCTGACCACACAGGGCCCCAGGCCCAGACTCGTGTTTGGGCAGCCAAAGCCATCCCTTGGCCACCAGTCATTGTTTTGGACACGTCCCATTCAACTTGAGGTTCTCGCTCCTTTTCCATTCTGGGGAGCATCAGCCCGGTTCCTATTCCACCGGCAAGTCAGAAGGGATTACAATAAACACTCACTCACACTCCTCCCCTTATGGCGTGAAGGGCCAAAGGACGGGCATTGATTGGTTCCCAACGGAAGGGTGTACCCACCCTTCACCCCTGCCTACTGTCTTCACCCGAATAGAACGCCCAGTCATTATAGCCATATACTTGCTCTTTTGCCCTTGGTTGCTAGCCTGATTACTCTCAGCACTTTAGTACTCCTTGAGTCCCAACCATCTTGTTCCTCTGCTCTTTGGCTGTCGGATTTCCTAATCTTGCTGGAACTGTAGGTTGGGTTCCTTGCCGTGGACTTTGCTAAAACCTCAAGTTCTGTCCAACTTAATTGATACACACATTGCTCGGGCCTTTATTCCTGGTTGACTTTCCTTGCTATTTTTTAGGGACTCGTTGTTACCCTTGTTACTACGTCCCATTCAACCTATTTATTGGTACATGATCCATAAATTTTTTTTTTTTTTTTTTTTTTGAAAAACAGAACCTCGCGGTTCTGGCTCCATATCCATTATGGGGAGCGTCACTCCATTTCCTCTTCCACCGGCAAGTCAAAGGGGTTCATCATGTACTCCCTCTACACTCCTTCCCATTATGGTTGGAAGGGCCGAGTGGATGGCATTGATTGCTTCCCGTGGGACGGATATACCACCCCTCATCCCTGCCTAATCTGGCCACATTGACTTACTATTAAAGTTGGTCGACTCTAGGGACCTTGACTCGACTGAACTTATGTCTGTACTACTAGTTGGGAGTCCGTCACGTACTTGCGCCTCTCAGCAGTTGTGCCGTCAGATATGCTTGGATCCCTACTTCCTTTAGCATACCCTACTACTACCCTTTACACCAGAGTGACCGAGAACTGAAGCCATCCTTGACGTAGTCTGCGGAAACCCTAAGCCCTAGGTGGAATTCGCCATGTCCTAGTACCTCGAGATCTAGATTGCACTCTAGCTGGGTGGTGTGCCTCTCCCCAGTTCTACCTTTGGAGCGTACTCTGAAGCTTTTTCCTTGATTTTCTTCTCATCCCGGTCCATGCGTGCCGCTCCACCATTTTGTGTACCTTCTCTGTCTGCACTTGGCTTGCACCAGTCCGTGAAGTGAAGTGCTCTTTCCATTATCTGCACTAATCAGATCCGTCGCTTGTTCTGTATGCACATTGCAATGTTTGAGGCATTTGATTCTTGGCCCCGCAATCTTAATTTTTCCCCTGTCATGTAGTCGCATCCTGGGGAACTGGCCACACTGCGCCTCCAGCCCAGATTCCTTTTTGGGCAGCCAGGCCAAACCTTGGCCACCAGTCATTGTGACCCTGGGGCAGAGTGAAAGTTAGAAAGGTAATGCATGAGTGCGTGCCCTGGGCTCAGACACTTTGCAGTCTTGGTGAGATGTAGTCCCTCTAATGAAGTGTTTACAATATCCATCAAAGGCTCTCCTCTTTTTATCTTTTGTGCCTTTGGTTTGCCTGTATCAGCATCGTTCATTTTTACTTCAATTTTAAATAATTTACGAGTTCTGTTATATTTTGCAGAGACCTTGCCCTTTCTGATTTTGTCCCACATTTGGACAGGCCCATGGTTTGTCTTGCTGTGCCTACTAGTGGAGGTGCCCATTCAGTTGGGCTGGAGTTATTTTTGCACTGTGTGCCTGTCCGAGGTGGCTTTGCTCACAGGACAGTTCGGCCATATCTGGAGACTTAGGTCCTGGTTCAGAGGTAGCTGCTGAGGCAGTTAAGTGCCTGACTTAGCATCACTTAGGTGGTTGGGCGTTGGTGCAGGACAAATTTTCCGTCCAGCACTTTTGGGCCTGGACCATAGATCAGGGACTGATCTGTATAGCAGTCTGTAGCCACTGGACCAGAGAGGAGAGATGCCCGCTCTCGCTACATGTAGAGGCTGGGCAAGGAGGGGGGTTGCACTCACTCAGTCATTCGGTTAGGCTGCTGGGGAGGAGCTCTGGTTGACTGGAGTGAGGCATCACAGGAGGTGTAGGGTGATTGGAAGTTTGCAGAGGAGGAGATGGTCCAGATCTGCTTATTTGAAATAGCCATAGCTCTGAGTAGGAGCTGGACTGCGGCCGGTAAACTGCACCAAATCAGTGGCTCAAGGTGCCACTTTCGCTGGTCAGCTATTTGTCCACACACACTCACACACGTACATACATCGACACCCACAGAGAGAGAGAGAGAGAGAGAGAGAGAGAGAGAGAGAGAGAGAGAGAGAGAGAGAGAGAGAGAGAGAGAGAGAGAGAGAGAGAGAGANGAGAGAGAGAGAGAGAGAGAGAGAGAGAGAGAGAGAGATGAGTTCTTTCTCCTTTTCCTCTCCTCCTCTCCTCCTCTCCTCCTTCCTCTTGTGAGAGAGAGACAGATAGACTGGTTATGGCACGGTAGTTTTGGACAGGGCTACATATAGAGAACCGAGACATTTCATTGTTGGAGGATTATTGGACAGGGCTACATTCCCAGACAAAGAACAGAAGGCATTTCATTGTTGTAGGACTATTTGACAGGGCTGCACTTTTTTGAGTCTTCGAGTCCTTTGGGATTTCTACATCTTGAGTCGTGTGCTGCATCTTCTTCTTCCACCTCCCTTCATTTGTGCATGATTGAGCAGGGAGGCTTTCTTCTGTGAATGTTTCCTTCCCCCTGGTGTGCGAGTTGATTCTCTGTTCACATTCTCTTCTGGGCGTGTCGGGCGTCTATTCCCTTATGTGCATTTGACAGAGTCTTCCACTGTGTCTTTGTTCACACCATTCCCCATAGAATCGACCTTGGCGGCTTCTTGACATGTCTGTCCGCTCATTCACCTGTGACAATATGGTGTATCATGAGTGTTTGCCTCCTTGCCCCATTAATCATTCTTCAGTTGCTGGTTGTGTTGAGCGTTCTCCGGTTCACTTGTTGATTAGCCCAGACGGTTCTGGGCGATTAATTTTACAGTCCATTGCCCCTTCACAACCACGAAGTTATAAACATGCAACTGGGCTGCACTCCAGAGGGCAAAATTGGCGAATTTGAAATTTCACATTTGATGTGAAGGACCTTTGGTTTCTGCCCATTATAAATCATAGGCCAAAGTTGCCGCCAAACACATGCCTCACGAGTTCGGACAATGTCACAAACTACTCAGACATCTATATTTAATGATTTAGCCTTAGATGACTGATCGTGACCACATAAAAAGCATACACCAGTATTATACACACACACACACACACACACACACACACACACACACACACACACACACACACATCATGTTGCTTGCCATTAGAGGTAAAACTGCTTCATTGTTGGATTGGCTCATTTTTAGCTTGCCATTAATGTTACAGAACTTACAGGCTGTCCTATTCTTTTTTGGCTTTTGATTTTGTATGTTAGATTTGTTCTGTTGTGCAGTTCCATTTCTTCCTTTCTGGTTTCATTTTTTTGTCGTTAATCAAAAGTTGGCACACACAATGGGGGTTCTCTCTGTTGGGGGCAAGTTCCCTTTTTTTTTTTTTTTTTTTTGTTTTGTTTGTTTGTTAAACAGGCCCTTATGGTCCTGGCTCCATTTCCATTCTGGGGAGCATCAGTCCGGTTCCTATTCCACCGGCAAGTCAGAATTACAGGATACATCATAAGTACTCACCCACGCTTCCTTCCGTCCGGCCGAAGGACCTCTACATCGTGGAGGATTTACTGTCAGCTTGCCCTGCTTCATCCTTTCCTCTCAGGTCTACTGCGAAAACCTGTCGTATAAAGCATGACTAGCGAGAAAGGTCCTAGAAGCTGCCAAAGCTGCCAATTTTGTCTAAACTGTAAATCCCCCATGTGAGCCACATGAAAACTCTGCTATTCTGAACCCTGTTTGCCCTAATTCTGTCCTAACCCTAAACCCTACACCCTCAACTATAGTTTTTAATTTTCCAGAAACATAAACTCCAAATCTTTTCCGAACATTTCTTGAAGTCCCCTGAAGCAACTTAGCCTGTCAGCTCACGGTGCCTGTGTTGGACCTCGGTATCTGGAACACCTGTCTACTCCCCTCTGTTTCCGAATTGTGCCTGTCTCTCCACTGATTGCAGAAATCCTCCGGCCCTGCCACCTTACCCACAGTGGTCTCTGCTTTACTTTTTTTTTTTTTTTTTTTTTTTTTTTTTTTTTTAACAAAACACAGGCCCTCATGGTCCTGGCTCCATTTCCATTCTGGGGAGCATCAGTCCGGTTCCTATTCCACCGGCAAGTCAGAATAAAACGATACATCATGAGTACTCACCCACGCTTCCTTCCGTCCAGCCGAAGGACCCCTGACCAGCATTGAATGCTCCAGCATCGTGGAGGATTAAATGTCAGCTTGCCCTGCTTCATCCTTTCCTCTCAGTTCTACCGTGAAAACCTGTCATATAAAGCATGACTAGCGAGAAAGGTCCTAGAAGCTGCCAAAGCTGCCAATTTTGTGTAAACTGTAAATCTCCCATGTGAGCCACATGAAAAGTCTGTTATTCTGAAC